GAACATTTTATAAAGTTTACATCATGTGATGAAAACTTTCCAGGATTTCGTGTGATACAGAATTATACTTGGAAAATGAGGTTACGTCAATCACGTGCATATGTATGCATATAAATAAAATTTCTCACTTACTAATGACAAAAATTAGAGGAAAACTTGCATCCTGTAACAAAATAAAAGGAAAAGGAGAAATGAGAAGCAAACCCAATAAGCATCAGTAAAACTACATTAGATAATTTTCTTGTATGTCAAAAAAAAAGAAGGAAAATATGTGTAAAAGCAAAGAGGAAAATTCTAAAAATTATCTATCACAGTTTCGACTACATAATAAAATGGAGGAAAAAAATCACAGTAAAAATTTAGTAGTATTTGTCCACAGGTATACATTTCATTACCTGATGTGTGTGGTAGGCCCTGTTAAATCTTAAAATCCAATGGGTTAGAAAAGCACAAGTTGGAACATTTTAAAAGATATTGTATAACTAAACAGAAGATCTGTATAAAAGATTGTATACATTCCATAAAAGAATACACACAGTGATATGGGACAACTGAAGAAAAAAAATCACTTAAATATTGTCTCTACAATATGAGCATGTAATAAAAAAACTACCAACACTACTGTATACTAATAAATAAAACAATGAACATGTCTACAATAAAAACCTTTCTGGAAATGAGCTTCCCATAACTATATTCAATAATCTAGAAATATCTATTCCTAATAAAAAAAAAACTTCCTAAATATCTCAGGGGATCTAATACCTGGCAAAAACCTTCCTCTTAACACACTCACATAATAGAATCTATTTCACTAGACACTGCTGGCAAGTCCTTCTTCATACATTCTGGACTACTTTGGCAACTCTCAATCACCATAAAATGCAACAAAGTTCCTCCCTCTTCACACCTTCTGTCATAAGGGGAGTGGGACACGAGCGGAGACATGACTCCAGCCTGTCCCTAGCGTGTGCTCCCAGCTAGTGCCAACAGGACAGTCATGCGACACGCCCACTCTCCTGGCGATGACCCCCTGGACTGGGCCCTTGTCACTGTCAAAGGAATCCAGCACGGCCCAGAGTGTCCCATCGGCCCCGACGCTAATGCTGGCCACGTTCCCGCACACCCACTCCCAGCTTGTACCTTCTGGAAAGAGGGGGAGCACGTTCGTCCTGCGGTACAATCCTCCGCCACGTTCCAGGCCCCACACTATCCCAGCCCCTGCGCCAATCTCGAGCAGCGGCTGGTTCGGGGCATCAACGTTCACCCACTGTCGCCCCTGCAATAGCAAATAATTATCATCATATTTCATTGCAATTGGGATTTGTGATTAGCAAAATAATGACCTTGCCTCTTCCCTACTAAAAGGCTCATTCTCTCAACATTTGGCAGGATGATGTAGTAACCTTCTCAAAGGGGAATATATTGGAGAAATAAGAAATGGCAGCTTTTCCCCATACAGATTGATTAAATTTACATAGAGGAGAATGGCTGGCTTTACAGAAGATTTAGTAAAATGCAGATTTTTATACACTCAAAATAAAAATTAACAGAAAACATAACCAACTGGCATATTTAGCAGGTTCTATTTCCAAGATTGGGAGTTAAGTAAATAGATCAATTGATAAACAGATAGATAGAAAGACATAGACAGATAGATCAATACAGAGAGACAAGTAGACAGATGGATAGACAGACAGACAGACTGATGGACAAATAGACAGATCAAAAATTAAAATCAAAGAAAAGAAAGATAAAAAAAAAAAAAAATCAAATAACCTCTTCCTCACCCTCTTCACTCATACGCATTTACTTTCATACTCGCACTCTAACTTGCACTTACACCCACTCTCGCACTCACATCCACACTCGCTTTCACCCTAGGATTTGCACTTAGATCTGCACACACATTCTTATTTGCACACATATTCACACTCACACCAGCACTCACACTTGCACTCATACACACACTCAAATAACCTCTTCCTCACCCTCTTCACTCATACGCATTTACTTTCATACTCGCACTCTAACTTGCACTTACACCCACTCTCGCACTCACATCCACACTCGCTTTCACCCTAGGATTTGCACTTAGATCTGCACACACATTCTTATTTGCACACATATTCACACTCACACCAGCACTCACACTTGCACTCATACATACACTCAAATAACCTCTTCCTCACCCTCTTCACTCATACGCATTTACTTTCATACTCGCACTCTAACTTGCACTTACACCCACTCTCGCACTCACATCCACACTCGCTTTCACCCTAGGATTTGCACTTAGATCTGCACACACATTCTTATTTGCACACATATTCACACTCACACCAGCACTCACACTTGCACTCATACATACACTCAAATAACCTCTTCCTTACCCTCTTCACTCATACGCATTTACTTTCATACTCGCACTCTAACTTGCACTTACACCCACTCTCGCACTCACATCCACACTCGCTTTCACCCTAGGATTTGCACTTAGATCTGCACACACATTCTTATTTGCACACATATTCACACTCACACCAGCACTCACACTTGCACTCATACACTACACTCAAATAACCTCTTCCTCACCCTCTTCACTCATACGCATTTACTTTCATACTCGCACTCTAACTTGCACTTACACCCACTCTCGCACTCACATCCACACTCGCTTTCACCCTAGGATTTGCACTTAGATCTGCACACACATTCTTATTTGCACACATATTCACACTCACACCAGCACTCACACTTGCACTCATACACACACTCAAATAACCTCTTCCTTACCCTCTTCACTCATACGCATTTACTTTCATACTCGCACTCTAACTTGCACTTACACCCACTCTCGCACTCACATCCACACTCGCTTTCACCCTAGGATTTGCACTTAGATCTGCACACACATTCTTATTTGCACACATATTCACACTCCTATTTGCACACACATATTCACACTCACACCAGCACTCACACTTGCACTCCCATACATTACTCACCTTCTTCCTTTTACTCTTCCTTCTTCTCTTGCTCTCCCTTTCCTTCTCCTTTTCTGTCTCTCTCATCATCTCTCTCTTTTCTCCCTCACCCACTCATTTCCTCCCTCCTTTTCTGTGTCTCGCTCTCTCTCTCATTCTCTCTCTCGCTCTCTCTCTCGCTCTCTTTCTCGCTCTCGCACTCGCACATACACATACGCACACGCACACACAAACACACACACACTCCCAAATTTCTTCTCTTCCTTCCTTTCCTCTCTCTCTCATTCTCTCTCTCGCTCTCTCTCTCGCTCTCTTTCTCGCTCTCGCACTCGCACATACACATACGCACACGCACACACAAACACACACACACTCCCAAATTTCTTCTCTTCCTTTCCCTCTCACTCTCTCCCATCCTTCTCAATCAAACTCACCGAAACAGACAGATTAACGAGTGCCACTTTCTCCATCTGCTGCCAGGGCCCAGAGGTTGATATGCAGCACTTCCTGACCCAGCGCCTTCTCCGCACAAGGTCAGTCATGTATCGGTGGCCATGGTAGCTGAGGGGGAAATCCGTGGCATACTGCCAGCCCTCTCGGTCAACCCCGCCAGGAGTGTGGTAGTCGACACACCATTCGCTCATCTGTTACACATGTGGGAAGTGAATATATGGAAAAGAATAATAAATCATATAAGCATTACTGAAAAAAAAAAAAAAAAATGCAGATAAACTTATTTTATCTATTCAAACATCACATCTCACTGACAAAAAAAAACACATCTGCTTCATTAATGACAAAAATACAAGCAATTCATTAATTACACATTGCAACATATATGAAAAAAAATTATACCCAGGACCAATGACGTGAAGGCAACTTGGTTCCCTCTTGCGTTCTGTGGTGCCTTCCCGTCTGATCACTCCAAGTGTGCCGGTCCGTTGGGAGGCCGCGGTGAGTGAAGCCAGTCACTGGATTCCAGCGCTGGTTCTCCCAGACATACATGTGACGGACATCGCTCATAATGTTCACATCTGAATCATTGCTGCTCCCTGGAATGTGCGGTTCATGACCAGAGGTGTGTATATGAGGAGGTGTCGAGTTGCCCCTGACCATACTGGGGCAGTGAAGTTTATAGCTACAGCTGCTTTATGGAAAATAAAATTATTCTAAAATTGCTGTTATCTAAAAAGGCCTAACACTGGCTTGAAATAATGAACACTGCATCCACTATATCCCTCTGAAAAACAATAATATTTAAAAATTTCCACCAACAAAAACTCTTGACTAATCCTTAACCTATTACCCACAGGAAAGTGTGATGCCCACTGCAACTTATTTCCGGATATTGCGTTAACACACTGATAGACTGATAGCCACCAAGGAGTCAATTACTACCTCTACATGACCTCACATGCTTTACTCTTTCCTTTTATCTTTCTTCATGTTATTAAAACCAATACTATTAAAATAATCACCACACACACACACACACACACACACACACACACACACACACACACACACACACACACACACACACACACACACACACACACACACACACACACACACACACACACACCACACACACACACACACACACACACACACACACACACACACACACACACACACACACACACACACACACACACACACACACACACACACACACACACACACACACACACACACACACACACACACACACACACACACACACACACACACACACACACACACACACACACACACACACACACACACACACACACACACACACACACACACACACACACACACACACACACACACACACACACACACACACACACACACACACACAACACACACACACACACACACACACACACACACACACACACACACACACACACACACACACACACACACACACACACACACACACACACACACACACACACACACACACACACACACACACACACACACACACACACACACACACACACACACACACACACACACACACACACACACACACACACACACACACACACACACACACACACACACACACACACACACACACACACACACACACACACACACACACACACACACACACACACACACACACACACACACACACACACACACACACACACACACACACACACACACACACACACACACACACACACACACACACACACACACACACACACACACACACACACACACACACACACACACACACACACACAACACACACACACACACACACACACCACACACACACACACACACACACACACACACACACACACACACACACACACACACACACACACACACACACACACACACACACACACACACACACACACACACACACACACACACACACACACACACACACACACACACACACACACACACACACACACACACACACACACACACACACACACACACACACACACACACACACACACACACACACACACACACACACACACACACACACACACACACACACACACACACACACACACACACACACACACACACACACACACACACACACACACACACACACACACACACACACACACACACACACACACACACACACACACACACACACACACACACACACACACACACACACACACACACACACACACACACACACACACACACACACACACACACACACACACACACACACAACACACACACACACACACACACACACACACACACACACACACACACACACACACACACACACACACACACACACACACACACACACACACACACACACACACACACACACACACACACACACACACACACACACACACACACACACACACACACACACACACACACACACACACACACACACACACACACACACACACACACACACACACACACACACACACACACACACACACACACACACACACACACCACACACACACACACACACACACACACACACACACACACACACACACACACACACACACACACACACACACACACACACACACACACACACACACACACACACACACACACACACACACACACACACACACACACACACACACACACACACACACACACACACACACACACACACACACACACACACACACACACACACACACACACACACACACACACACACACACACACACACACACACACACACACACACACACACACACACACACACACACACACACACACACACACACACACACACACACACACACACACACACACACACACACACACACACACACACACACACACACACACACACACACACACACACACACACACACACACACACACACACACACACACACACACACACACACACACACACACACACACACACACACACACACACACACACACACACACACACACACACACACACACACACACACACACACACACACACACCACACACACACACACACACACACACACACACACACACACACACACACACACACACACACACACACACACACACACACACACACACACACACACACACACACACACACACACACACACACACACACACACACACACACACACACACACACACACACACACACACACACACACACACACACACACACACACACACACACACACACACACACACACACACACACACACACACACACACACACACACACACACACACACACACACCACACACACACACACACACACACACACACACACACACACACACACACACACACACACACACACACACACACACACACACACACACACACCACACACACACACACACACACACACACACACACACACACACACACACACACACACACACACACACACACACACACACACACACACACACACACACACACACACACACACACACACATGCCATCTCCAGCAGTATTGGATTAAATGAAGAAGCCTTTCACCTCACCTTTATAGAGCCCCCCACCAGTAGCCCCAGTGTAAGTGTATACATGGTAGTCGTGCGAGATGGCCCACGTCACACCTCCAGCCCCACTTTCAACTCGCAGGCAGTGTCCGCCCAAACCACGCCAGTACCACTCATTCAGCTGTCGTTCACCCTGTTGAGAGATCTTATTTTATTGTTTGTTTGTTTGCTTGTTGAAGTTTTTATACTTTTCCAATAGATGTGTGTTTGAAAGAGTAATGGGGGGGAAAAAAAAAATTGGTTTTGAAAAAATAAAAGAAATCTGTAGTGAATAATCAACAATAGGATTGCCAAAATATCCAAATCTATCATTATTACCTCACATAAAAATTCTTATATCATGATTTTGGTTTCAACTTGAAAGTGAAAGTGAAAGTGAAAGTAAGTTAATAAGTAAGTAAGTAAGTAAAAAAAAATAAATAAATAAATAAATACATAAATAAAATAAAAATGCAGGACAAAACTCACCGCCCCATGATTGTATGTCACAGAATCCACTGTGATGCTTCCTCGAATGACAACATGAGTGATGTCAGCTGCTGACAGGCGATGGTTGAAGCTATACCAAAATTTGTCATTGACAGAGATCTGCAATGGGGATAATAAACTTGTTCAGAGACACTTAAATGGCAGCCAAAATACTGATGCAAATTCAACCAGAAGAAGAGAAAGAACAAACAAACTTATTAACAATGGTAATATTCACAGACGATAAAACCTTACTTTAGGGACACATGTATCTTATTTTAGGGACACTTATTTTAGGGACAACTGCTTTGACTTTCTGCTGGTATTTCTACACATAATATCAAAGTGTTATATAGTCACCAAAGACATACTCTTTATAGTAGCTTCAAGATCCAATATTCTTTTGCCATTGTTATAATCATGCTACCAAAACTTTTGAAGCCAGGAGTGAAGTATTAAATTTACACACACACACACACACACACACACACACACACACACACACACACACACACACACACACACACACACACACACACACAAAAATGCATACCTAAAATATTGAGGGAAACACTGAGGGTATACAGCATATATATTTTACTTAACCTGTTTGTATATCTATTTTAACTGACCCTCCCACAACAGGTTTTCCCAGTGCCACACAAAACTATGCAATGGGCAGTTCACATAGTCAGATGCTCACGAGAAAAATTAAAAGCCCGCTCTCAATGCTCGTGGCTACAGATGAATGAATGTTTATGTAATTAGGCTAAACAGAGGCATAAGAACCATTACTTAATTTGCTCAACTTAGAGCAGAGTCCCATGACGGGACGGTCTAGCCATGACATGACAGAATGTCAACTGTTGTCACTGGGTAATTTTACACATTAGCATGCATACAGAGCATTTCACTCAATCATAAGGATTTACAGTATATAATTTTCACAGAAATTCTCACAACCACACCTTTTTAAATTTCCTTCTATTTTTTTTTAAATAGCGAACAAACTCTCTGTAAAATCTACCTTGAAGTCCTTGTCGTCACACACAATGGATATCTCACAGTGAGCACCTGGAGTCATGGCGGATAAGTCTGTCTTCACTTCATGTCCCCAATGTCCTTTCTTCTTGGTATTCAGTACAGCTGCCTGGGGGGGAAGGAAATTTCATCGTACAAAACAGAAAAAAAAAATCAGAATGTGCCACAGTATTCTCAGGTCATAGGCTGAAATCTGAGACATACTGATATAGATATACATATTCATATACATATATATACATATATCAAATATATACTAATATATGTGTATACATATATCAAATATATACACATATAGGTATATATATATATATATATATGTATATAAATGTGCGTGCGTGTGCATGTGCGTGTGTGTGTGCGTGTGCGTGTGCGTGTGTATGTGTGTGTGTATATATGTATATATACATTATATTTATATATATATATATATATATATATATATATATATATATATATATATATATATATATATATATATATATATATATATATATATACATTATAAATGCATTAACTGCTAAGAGAAAAAAATATTATGGAATAATTGAAGCCAAAACTTTAGGTTTACACACACACAAGGAAAAGTGATCAGACAGAACTTTGGTTAACACAATCACTGAAGCTACTTATAAAAAGTTAGATTCTTGTTACAACTTACATTTATTGAAAATCTTGGATTTAAATGAAGAGCAATGTTAGCATCTGTTCCTCTCGATGTCTGCAGATTTATATGGAATCTGAGGATGTAAAGAAAAACATAAAAGAACAACTGAAAATGACACATATTCTGAACACTCCTAAGACTCAATAGAATGGATCTAAATAATCTGTCAAAATCTACAAACAAGATTAAATACACAACAGACAAATGCTTAAGACTTACTTAATAGGTAAAAAAAAAGAAAGAAAAAAAAAAAGGCCTTCTATAATGTTTTCCATACAAATACAATCAACTGCAAGATCATATGTAAATGAAGAAACTATATCTCTCTTACTGGTCAGCTTTCTTATCGTGAATCTTGCCCGACACTGAGATGAAGCACCCTGGCCTAAATCCTCGGTCTAATAGAAGGGTTACTGGAGTAGCTCCTGATCCAATCGGTAGGTGCTTGTGGGCGGCCACTGACTCAGCCCGGAGCTGTGTGGGAAATTTTTTTGGCATTATCGTGTGATGTGTTACAGTACAGCCAAGAAAATAGTATTGTATGTACAACTACAACAACCCTTCACTGTAACATTGCTAGTGGCATAATCTATATAACAATGAAAATCCTACAAAGAATTGGTGATTCTTTGGAGTTCATATAATCTGGACATAAATTTTGCATTTTTGGTGAGGTAATTAGTTAAAGCCACAATTCTACACTACAACTTCTACAGTGAAATGACTCTTAATACAAAGAAATGAAGAAAATGAGATAAAAAAATTCCCACCAACAAAAAATCTTGACTAATCCTTAACCTATTACCCACAGGAACATGTAATGCCCAATGCAATTTATTTCCACAAATTGCGTTAACACACTGATAAGACAGATGGAGTACTGACCTCCTCTTCTGTGACAGAACAGTCATGAAGGTAGACATCGCCTCTGGTTGTCACTGCCCACACAGTGTATGAGGAGGGCCTTCCTGTTAGACCTCGGAACTGGTTACAGGCTGGTGAGGAATTTTTTAGTTCAGGCAAAGAATTTTTTAAGAGATTCTGCTTAAGACAACTTTTGGGAGATTGTGACAATATCATCATCAATACTACTGCAAATTGGCTATACTGATTAAAACACATACACTTGAATTCCTGCAGATACACATACACACATATGAAGACATACATATAAAAATGTGGACATACATCAAAAAAAAAAAAAAAAAAAAAAAAAAAAAAAAAAAAAAAAATCTCCCAAACAAAAAAAAATATACATATACACATCTCATTTTCTGAATACATGCTTATACCCAACCCTACAAATATACTACAACACCTTGCCTAAAATCTGTACACTAATTATCTCACCATTGGAGATGTGGTTCAGCCAGTCTTCAGCATCCGTTTCGGCTGAGAAAACAAGCGCCTTTGGGTGGAGGGGCTCAGAGGGATGATATATCCCAACGACAGACTTGGCTGTTCCGGGCTCAACTGATATAACACTCATCAATATTGCGCAGCACGATATCTCGACCTGGAATGAGTGTTGAAGACAGATATGGGTAAAGGAAAGCAAAGAGAGAAAAAACATGATATACAAAATTCCATCACAATAAAGCTAATAACAAAAATAACAAAAACAATCAATCCTACAGGAAAATGGTATAATAAAAAAAACAAAAAAAAACAGTACTAGTTCCTAAAAATACATAATAATAATAATAATAAATAAACAAATAAAAGAAAACCTATTTTTAAACCACGCAAGCACTTTTTTTCTTACCGTCTTTGCAGAGCCCAGATTATAGTGCACCACAAGTGTGGCATCCTGAACCTCTGACCTGCGAGAGCCCACCATGGTCAGCTCCAAGGTCGCCGGCACCAACTGGCCCCCAGCCCACCAGCGGCACTGACCCCTGATGGCCCAAGAAGACCCCTCCACAGCCTCTTCATACCTGTCAAAAAGTGAAACGACCTTAGGAAAACACTACATAAGAAGGAGGGGAGATAGGTGGAAGGGAAGGGAAGGGAAGGGAAGGGAAGGGAAGGGAAGGGAAGGGAAGGGAAGGGAAGGGAAGGGAAGGGAAGGGAAGGAAAGGGAAGGAAAGGAAAAGAAAGGAAAGGAAAGGTTAGGGAAGGGAAGGGAGGGCAGAGGATAACAACAATGATGACAAATAGGAAGAGAAAGAGAAATACCTCTACCTCCAGTGCCTCAAGAAAACCAAATATCGCAAAAAAAAAATAGTAATAATAAAAAAAAATAAATAAATAAATAAATAAATGCAACAATCCAGAACCTTCAACCCACCCTTCGAAAGGCTTGATTTCCTTGTTGTGACGCCAGTGCAGCTTTTGCAGCACCTCGGCATATCTACTTACTTATCTATCTATCTATATATCTATCTACTTACTTATCTATCTATCTATATATCTATCTACTTACTTATCTATCTATCTATATATCTATCTACTTACTTATCTATCTATCTATATATCTATCTACTTACTTATCTATCTATCTATATATCTATCTACTTACTTATCTATCTATCTATATATCTATCTACTTACTTATCTATCTATCTATATATCTATCTACTTACTTATCTATCTATCTATATATCTATCTACTTACTTATCTATCTATCTATATATCTATCTACTTACTTATCTATCTATCTATATATCTATCTACTTACTTATCTATCTATCTATATATCTATCTACTTACTTATCTATCTATCTATATATCTATCTACTTACTTATCTATCTATCTATATATCTATCTACTTACTTATCTATCTATCTATATATCTATCTACTTACTTATCTATCTATCTATATATCTATCTACTTACTTATCTATCTATCTATATATCTATCTACTTACTTATCTATCTATCTATATATCTATCTACTTACTTATCTATCTATCTATATATCTATCTACTTACTTATCTATCTATCTATATATCTATCTACTTACTTATCTATCTATCTATATATCTATCTACTTACTTATCTATCTATCTATATATCTATCTACTTACTTATCTATCTATCTATATATCTATCTACTTACTTATCTATCTATCTATATATCTATCTACTTACTTATCTATCTATCTATATATCTATCTACTTACTTATCTATCTATCTATATATCTATCTACTTACTTATCTATCTATCTATATATCTATCTACTTACTTATCTATCTATCTATATATCTATCTACTTACTTATCTATCTATCTATATATCTATCTACTTACTTATCTATCTATCTATATATCTATCTACTTACTTATCTATCTATCTATATATCTATCTACTTACTTATCTATCTATCTATATATCTATCTACTTACTTATCTATCTATCTATATATCTATCTACTTACTTATCTATCTATCTATATATCTATCTACTTACTTATCTATCTATCTATATATCTATCTACTTACTTATCTATCTATCTATATATCTATCTACTTACTTATCTATCTATCTATATATCTATCTACTTACTTATCTATCTATCTATATATCTATCTACTTACTTATCTATCTATCTATATATCTATCTACTTACTTATCTATCTATCTATATATCTATCTACTTACTTATCTATCTATCTATATATCTATCTACTTACTTATCTATCTATCTATATATCTATCTACTTACTTATCTATCTATCTATATATCTATCTACTTACTTATCTATCTATCTATATATCTATCTACTTACTTATCTATCTATCTATATATCTATCTACTTACTTATCTATCTATCTATATATCTATCTACTTACTTATCTATCTATCTATATATCTATCTACTTACTTATCTATCTATCTATATATCTATCTACTTACTTATCTATCTATCTATATATCTATCTACTTACTTATCTATCTATCTATATATCTATCTACTTACTTATCTATCTATCTATATATCTATCTACTTACTTATCTATCTATCTATATATCTATCTACTTACTTATCTATCTATCTATATATCTATCTACTTACTTATCTATCTATCTATATATCTATCTACTTACTTATCTATCTATCTATATATCTATCTACTTACTTATCTATCTATCTATATATCTATCTACTTACTTATCTATCTATCTATATATCTATCTACTTACTTATCTATCTACCTATATATCTATTTACTTATCTATCTATCTGTTTATCATCTACCTACTTATCTAACTCTCTATCTACCTATCTATTTCTCTATCTATCTATCTATATATCTATCTACTTACTTATCTATCTATCTATTTACCTACTTATCAATCTACCTATCTACCAATCTTTCTAACTAAAAAAAAACTCTGATCACTACAATGTATTTCAGTAACTTTAAACAAATCTACCTCTCTTTAAATGGCCAACTGACTCTTCCATATTTCCTAATTCAAACACTCAAAGTAGACACCAAGCAAACCGTATTCTAAAAAGTCAATAACAAGAAATATAAAAAACACTAATCAAATATATCAAGAAGTCCCTTAGTTTTCAATACTCTGCATTAATTCATTATCTTCTACTTACTGAAAATTGATTCCAATCAAAGTTATTCAATCCCTATAGGACAGCAAGGCCCAGAACTAAATGTGCACACAGGAAGGGAAATAGGCACTTTAATAAACAACTGTATCACCTTAAGTTCAGTTAAATAAAATGGATATCCCTAATATAGGTAACTTTTACTTGGATGATATCTAGTGCATATTATCCAGTGTGCACATATATCTGAGAATTACAAAATCCATTTTTTCTCCTTCAGGGTACATCTGAAAGAATTTTAACTTACCTCCTACCGAACAAGTTCAGTGATGCAGAGCATTGAAATCAAAATGAGAACAAATTAGAATTTTAAAACTTCTAGGGGATATGGGTGGCATATATTATACATTAAGTGATAGGATATATGTGATTTTTTTGTTTCCTGCAGTGGCATTCTTAAATATCACATATACATTTTTCTTTTTACAAATAAGCAAGAAAAGTAATTAAGCTTGACAAATATTCCAGCTAATCCAAATACCAGAATATGCCAACTCCTATAAAACTGCAGTACACATTTTGTCCCTATACCACAATTCCATAATGTCAAAGAGTGATATAAGCTTAGGAAACATGAGACTTACCAACGCGGCATGTTATTGGCGCTCACCCAGCACCCTCCGCCAGATATCCATAGCCATAGGTGTTCGGCTTGAAAGGGTATCACGTTGTACTCTGGCTTCTCCTCTCTCGTTACGACCAGAGAACCCCGTCCGAGGCCAGCTTCACTGCCGGCGCTACTGCTGCTGACGTGGCGAAGGCGCGACTCACTCCACTCCCCGCTCGAGTGCTGCATTGATGGTGGACCCTCATGTGTTTGCTCTTCTGTTCTATCACTCTTTGTCGACTGGCGATCCTCTTCCGGCACTCCCTGAGCTTCCCCTTCCACTAATTGTCCTTTGCTCTTATTGCCTTCCACGCTCACGGCAATGACCCCATTGGCCACCGGGCTGCTCTCGCTGGCTTGAAAACTGCTAATGAATTCTCCGCCCGGGTCAGACACGACAGAGGAGCTAAGTGAACTCGGGTAATCCTCTGGGTAGCGTATCTTGATGCTCGAGTCTCGGCTATCGTGACCCGGAGAAGTTTCATTCTTCTCCCCAGCTCCGGTGACATTTGCCTCGTCTTTTGGCTTCAGCTGTAAGTTTGGCAAGCCAGTATTATTCTTGTTCTCCGACTCATCACCTGCTGATACCGCTCCCCCTGGAGGAGATGCAGAATTGTCCAGTAGCTTCAGATTGTCCATAGCCGTTGCCATGCTTTGAAAGTCTTCTCCATCTGAAGACTGTACACTAAGCAGACTTTCACCATCACACTGAGGTTCTAGTTTCTTCAATCCCCCATCAACTGGAGTGTTACTCTCCCTTCCTGAAGTTACCTTGGATAAAGGTCCTGGACTTGGTGCAGGGCTGGGACTAGGGGTTGGCTCTGGGGTCACTGACACGTCAATCGGGAGACAAATGGGCCGCCAAGTTCGACCTGTGAGCTCTGTTTCTGTGATGCCTGTGCGTATGAGCAAGTTGTAGTCTTCACTACCAATGCCCCAGACCTACACAAATAAAAGAGTTGGTTTAATACTCACAGAATCACATCAATTTCTTATTTCACAAAAACCCTTAATGCCCCATAAAAAGACATCTAATTACCATGGAAAATAAACCTGTTCTCTAACCTGGTCATTTGGGCCGACAGAAATCATGTTGAGCATGCCCACCATCTCCAGCCAGCTATTGCCAGTCGTTCCTGTGTCCGCCTTGGACTGACTAGTTCCATTGCCTGATCTGTTATGCTCTGAAGCAGCTTCCTTGGATGCTTGGAGTCCTCTCCGGAACCAGACCTTATGGTCCCTCGTCAAGGCCCAAACTGACTTTGTTCCAACTGCCACCTGCTGCAGAGGACTGCCATTTGGAGGCTCAACAACAATCCAATCAACACCTGTGAATCAACTGCTAATCAGACAGCTTAAACAAAAACAAAAAAGTTAAAAATACATGAAAGGCAAGTTTGAAAAATATTAATTCTATAGGCATGGTGTCACAGTGCATTATATATAAACAATATATGGGTGTTTGCATTAAGTATACTTGTTTATTACGATTGAGAGAACTGCTGATGTTAAACGGGACCGTAGTTTCACCCAACTAAGTCACGGTTAGGCAAGCCATGCAAAGGAAAGTTAAGGAAAGAAAACAAACTCAAGGCCAATGGCAAAGGGATGGGCCTGGGCAAGGGCACGGGTAACGTAAGGTAAGAATGGAAAATAACCTTAGTAATAACAAACCTGTGGGTGCATCCCTCGTCACTCCGGTCCTCACAAGGATGGTGCCGTCCCAGGTTACAGACCATACCCTCCCCGAACGTCCTACTCCTACAGTTGTCACATCCCTTTCTGGTGGCGTTGGGATGTGTTGCCAGCTGCAACCCTCAGGACAAGTGCCATCAACACCACTACGAACCATAACCTGTTCATGGGAACACTTTCATGATAATTGCTGCACAAAGTTACTACATTAAAATTAAAATCAGACTTTATCACTAAATCACTAATGCCTTCAAGAAATAAGGGAATACAAAAAAGATATATATATATATATGATGCATGTAATATACAACTCAATGAAAGTAATACACCGCTATCAACCTGTTAGACCCAAGTGACTGGGACATCTCATGAAATAATTTGCCCAGCATCAGGGTGACAGGACTCACTGTAGGGTATGGTTGCCGAGCGGCGAGTGATAGGGACACCTGACCATGAGTGCATAAATCTTTTTGGAGCAAGATTGATTCAATGGGCCTTTAGGAAGGGACTCTTGCATAATTTCCAATGTGATCTGCATCTACCTACAATTACCAGGGACACTGGGTGTATTACAGAATGCTAAATTAGAAAATATAAAAAATAAAACAAATAACATATCATTACTTACTAATACTAATATAAAACAATGTAAACTACCTGGCGAAATAATTTGCTGCTCAACCAATAGGCCATTATACTATTGATAAAACATAACAAATGACAAATACAGTCCTCAGAAAATGGCAAATCAACAAAAACACACCCACAGAAAATGAGCTAACGGCATTGGAAAGAGGAGACAAGGGGTCTGAATATGTTCATATCACTCAGACCTATTAATCTGCACCCCAGGGAGAAGGGCCACTCAAGTAAGCCTAACGCCTAGATTTTGCTCCACATGCAAGGAGGCGCAAGGAACTCAGATCCAACGGGTTAACGATGGACAAATAACCAGTAACATACCCGACCAAAGACCGTAACACCCCACACCATGAGCTTGTCTAGGTCTTCACCAGCCACCTCTCCTCCCCCGACAGTAATGTCAATGAAGGGCTCCTGTAAAAGAGTGCATGAAATATAAGTATTTAGTATATGGACATTCAACTTAGCTACCTACCTCTTTCTTAAATCTTGTTTATAATAATGCACTCTTATCTCATTAACTACCTTTTGTCATGCTTGTTAAGATAACTGTTTTAACCCATTGCCGCCGGGGAAAATTAACAAAAAATGGGGGAAATGCAGTACTCATTTTTTATATTTTTGTGAAATATCTCTGTCCATAGATGGCTCTGCTGGTCCTGATTTCACCTTTCCTTGAATTGGCGGGAAAAAACGTATTTTTACTAGTGCTATAAATATAGATGGTGTTATTTTTAACAGCAAATTAGGATAACGTTAAATATTTTCGTAAATCGATGAAAAGGGTGAACGGGCGGGACAGGCAGTACTCGTAATTGGCTCATTGGATACTTAGTACAAGTGTAGCCATCTATGTGTAAAAACAATTGAACAAGTCGGCTCACAGTGGGCATGGCATGTACGTACATGCCATCCCCGGCGGCAATGGGTTAACAAAAATCTAAATGTGCTCCTAAATAAATATAATAATATTCTGGTATACTGTTGACAGCAAAATTCATCTTCAGAGTAGCAAATGTTACAATATCGAGAACTAGCTCTTTCATTATCTGTAATAATATAATATTAACTAACTATTTATGACAATGATGATGAAAACTTCATCAGTTATGATCAGTATCATGATATATCCAAAACCTTCTGAAGATGTTAAATAAAAGTGAGCAATAATTCTTTATGCTTATATCATATCTTAAAAGTAATTATAATATATAAAATACTTACTGACAATGATCATGACAATTGATGGTGATGGGTGAGGGTGAGGGTGACAGTAAGAGTGAGTGAGAGTAAGTGAGAGTGAGAGTAAGAGTGAGTGAGAATGAGAGTGAGAGTGAGAGTGTGGGTGAGAGTGAGTTTGAGAGTGAGAGTGAGAGTGTGAGTGAGAATGAGAATGAGAGTGAGAGTGTGAGTGAGAGTGAGTGAGTTTGAGAGTGGAGTGAGAGTGAGAGTGAGAGTGAGAGTGAGTGATTGTGATGTGACTGCGATTGCAATTGTGATGGTAACACACAAGGCACAGAGATACGAGATCACCACCTACTTTAGTGTGATCTTGATGAATGGGAGGCACAGCAGACCACGTGTCAAGGGCGACATATCTTCTATACCGCACCCACTTCCTTCGCCTCACGCAAGAATTCCATTTCTTTTCCGCCGTATACGTCCTTGGGAAGTCTACAGCATAAGTCCACCCCTGAGATGTAAAGAGAAATCCTGACACAAAGGCAGACACAATCCTAGTCCCTATGTGGATTGTGACAAAAAAATCTAATAAGTCACAAGTTGCGTAATAACAAGGTTAAACAACAAATTGAAGCCTCACATAATGGCATAACTAGTTAGAATACACCACGAATGAGCATAATACAAATTAAAAACAGCCTTTGTCACTGCTTGCTACCTCCTTGTCAAGAGCCTGTCCCTCGTGGGTGTGATGGAGATGCCAGTGTGACTCCCACGACCAGGCAAGGGTGGGGAGGGTGATATCTGCAATCTTTCGGTTGGTGAGGCCATCTTCACTCGAAAAGGAGGGACGGTCCGAGGGCAGCAAGACTCCGCTGAAGCCTTCAATGGGGTTCCAGCGCTGATGGAAGCAGATGTTTAGTAAAGTGATAAACGTTTGGTAAAGTAGTAAAGTGATTAAGAATGGGGCACATTTCAGCAGTAAGTAAAACCAAGAGGCTCCATAAGAGCTTAGTCACCAAGTAGTCAATTCAATCTTACCTCTTTACACCCTTACTTCATTTCTGGAAATACTTATTCTATTTTATATGTCTATTAGTATTGCTAATAGCACTGTGATAATTATGATGTCAATAATAACAGCACTGACATTTTTCCCTAAAACACAAGGGAGAGGAAAATACGTGGCAAGGCATGCATACTACTGAGTCCTTGGTGGCTGAGTACTGAATACATTTTACAAAACAATACTACAGTGAACATCAGATTTTGCTAGCAGCATTGGGACAAATAACTTAAAAATAATAGGATGGACTGACAGACAGACAAACAGAATGACAGACACAGATACACACACCCACAGACGCAGATAGATAGATATGGACAGAAAGAGACAGACAGACAGACAAACAGACAAACAGAAACACTGATAGACAGATGGACTGATAGACAGATAGATAGATGGATGGATGGATGGATGGATCTATGGATAGATTAATGTATGAATGAGTGAATGAATCAATCAATCAAATGAATAAGTAAATGGACAGACAAACAGAGACAGCTTCAGAGAGATAGCTGGAACTGAGACAGAAAATGAATCATGCATTTACCCATAAAAAAACAAAACAAAAAAAAAAAAACAATAAAAATAATAATAAAACAGCTTTACTCATTACCTGATTTTCATAGGCCTCCTCACACACACGTATCGGGACGGATGAGCCATACACATACACATACACCTGGTGGTCTCCCCCAAGGGCCCAGATAACCGTCTCATGAGCCGAAACCCTCTTGAATTCAACGCCCAAGTAGGGGAGTTCTCTCCACACAGACTGGTCCGTCGAGAGGCTGTACACCCGACCTTGGTTGTTGATGGCAAAGATCTGCGAGGAAGGCATCTTCTCCTGTTCTGGCTACACTTCCGCCTGCCTACTGAGGGAAAAGTGGAGAAGAGGGTGAAATACAATTTTTCTTTTCTTGCAAATATTGGGCATGAAAGCTTGGAAGAATTACCGCAATTAATTGAAAATGCTTAACCCTTGAAGGATATGCCATCTTACAATCTGATGCAGCTGTGAACTAATGGATCCCAAAACAACTCCTTCTCTTTAACTTC